TTTTGAAGATTGAAATTTGGTCCCTAATTTTTGAATTCCAAACTTTACGCACTTGAGTTTATATAATTTCCCATATAGGAAATAAAAATATGCTGGGCCAGCGACCTGAGAGCTGACCAAAATGGCCCATATTTATTGGCGAGCCAGGCTTGGCCAACCGTCCGTAGAAAGACGAGACTGGCCGGACAAAACCCACAAGCACGGCACTGCCAACCTGTATGCAGAAGGACGAGACTGGCAGGACACAACCCGCAAGCATGGCGCATGCTGGACCTGGACAGGCTACCGAAGAGGCAGAGAGCAACAAAGCTTTCCCTATATGGCTCTGTTGTCCATGCCCGCAGCTCGCCAGGCCTTAAAAGCTCAGACAAACTGAAGGTGCAAAAAGCCAAAAACAAATTCATCTTTATCCCTTAAGATATTTAAGGAGAACCTGATTTTAAGTTTTAACCAAAAAAAACCAAGAAGCACACTCAATCTACCCAAAATATTACTTGGTGCCCAATCTTGACCACTCGCTCTCAAAAAACTGTTTCAAATTCAAGGCATTGAACAAAGGTATAAATAGTTCAACAGCCCCCAAGAGAATCGCCATAACTAATATCAGTGACCATTACAGTAACCAACTGCAGAAACACTTTGCAACATGTCATAAATATATAAATAAATGCAAGAAAAGAAAGAAAAAAAATGTTCATAAAAAGAAATCAAACAGGCTGTCTTGGGAATTTTAATAAGCTATTGCAAAGACAAGGGCCGGCGAACGGAACGATAAGCTAAGCATTAATGAAGCCAATATCCGTTCTATTCGGACGTGTATCTCTATTCGGATAAGGTAGCCTTGAGCTCACCATTGTCGTGCAGTTCCATCACAATATCACAACCTCCTACCAACTCTCCTTTGTAATATAGCTGTGGAAAGGTTGGCCAGTTTGAGTACGTCTTTAATCCTTGCCTCATCACCTCGTCGGTTAGAATATCGAAAGAACCGAACTCGAGTCCCTCCTCCTTCAGGGCATTTACTACTTTGGAGCTGAACCCACATCTCGGAGCATCTGGTGTACCCTTCATGAAAAGCATTATGGCTGATGAATTTACCAAATGTTTAAGGCGATCTTCGAGGGTTTCACCAGACTGGATCCCTTTCTCGGATAGAACCTTCTTAAGTTCTCCACTCTTTTGCATCTCCAACACGATGTCTGATCCACCAATGAGTTCACCCTTTATGTATAGCTGAGGATAACTCGACCAGTTTGAATAAACTTTAAGGCCTTGACGAACCTCATCATCACTAAGAATGTCGAAACTCCCAAACTTGACTTTCTCCTCTGTAAGAATGTCAACAACCTTGCGGCTAAAACCACATCGAGGTTCATCGGGTTTTCCTTTCATAAACAGCACGACTTCACTAGAATTTATCAGACCTTGCAGTCGAGAAGTCAGAGCTGCAGTCAAGCCTGAAGGACCCGTAATGCCTCCCTGTCCACCATCAGGTTTGGTGGCTTTTATCTCACTGGGATCGGATATTTCAATTCCGTGATCTTTGAAAACATCTCTTAGCTCACCACTTTCGTGCATAGCAATTGCAATGTCACAGCCACCAAGCAGTTCACCCTTACAGTATAGCTGAGGAAACGTTGGCCAGTTGGAAAATTTCTTCAATCCTTCACGAACATCATTGTCTGTCAATATATCAAAACTTCCAAATTTAACCTTCTCTTTCTTCAATATGTCAACTATTTTTTGACTGAAACCACATTTGGGGGACTCGGGGCTCCCTTTCATGAAAAGCATGATACCATGAGAATTAACAAGCTGCTCAAGTCTCTTTTTGAGTCTGTCACCTACAGCTGAAGGTGATAGGGCCCCTTCCCGAGGGGAACCATTTTCTTTAGCAAACTCCTGAACTGTTTCAAGAATAGTAGGACCTGCGGCCATCCCGAGGCTAGCAGGAGCAGCGGGTTCACCAGGACTGATTGACCCAGCAACTTTGGCAACTTTGTTGGCCAAACTAGATGGATCAGCACCTTCCAGTGTATCAACTACCTTGCCATCCTAATAGAATCAAAGTTACATTAGATGACCAACAAAAATCAATTTCTCTATATTCCTTTATCGTAGGTTATAGGGAGAGAAGTTATACAAATGTATGTACGTACGTAAATATGTTTGTATGTATATGCCACAACCAAGCTCAAAGATATTTAACTCGAGGCAGACCGGTTGAGGCTCAAAGGGATGCTACCTAGAAGCATACTATCCAACTATGCCATATAAAATATGGCAATGGCAACCACCAAAGGGGGAAAAAAATAGAAACCCCACACATGCACACAAAAAAAGAGGCAACGGACAGTATAAAACAACACTATGCACTAATTTAATCCAGAGTAATAATAAGAACGATACCAAACTGAAGATATTGGTGCTAAACTGCAGTGATCTAACATATGCAAATCTTTTAATGAAGGGGAATCAGGACTGAGGGTGTTTGAAGGAACGAATCAAGAGGCATCAATGGAGCCTTTTGGGCAGTTTGTAGCAAAGATATAGTATCAATAGAATGAGTGCATAACATTTTACTCAAGAATCACAACTTTACCTAGTGGTTGATCTTGGTCTTTAGGAAAAGATAGTGCAGATTAAAGATAAATCCCTGAAATTTATTTGTGTACAGATTTCATACTGTAGCATGCTGATTGGCACCTTTTAAGGATTTCAAGGTTGCATTTCTCAGCAAATATCTCAAGGAAATTCAACAGTCACCTAAATTTTGTTCTATTATGGTGAACGGAAATGCTTGAGATAGATATCAAGGTGATCATATATCCAAGAATGACTCTGGTTGTCAAATGATAGAACAACCAGAAGCAATTTACGTACGATATTTAGTTGACATTCATAAAAAGTATCCACGTAATTATGAATTCAATACAATGTGTTTAGCAGAAAGATGGGTATTCACCTACTTATTCCATTGCCCTTTAATAGACTAATAGTTAGAGAGGATGAAAACAAGTCTATAGCTATCTTATATAACTGGAAAATTCTTTCAGAAGACAAGGCAATTGATTATAACATCTCTATACATGTAGTGTAGTACCTTAAAGAACACGAAATAAGGCACGGCAGAGACAGAATATGCCTCAGAAATTTCTGGTTGTTCTTCAGCTTCAACCTACAACATCACGAGGGATGTTAGAGATGCAGCACATAACTTGTGAAAGTTCTCTGACATGCAGTTTCATTGCATGTAGTGGTAGAATCACACTGCATACAGGGTTACAGTACATTATCGAGTTTAAATCACTCAAATCAAGAAGGAGAGAAATGAGGCATAAGAAAAGAAATATAAAATTAAGAACCAAAAATAGAAAATGGAAATAAACAACATGACCAAGATTGGAGAATCATATTCTGAATTCAAAAAAATATTCTTAAGCTGTTATTGTTGATCAGGGATTAGTTGAACCCAGATCAGCTATGTATTTCCCATCATTTGATTATTTGTGCTAATCACAAGGCTTTCATTCATCCTCGAAAATCTAAACAGGAGTGTATAAGAAATAACCATTTCTAATAGGCCTGAGTAGGTTAGGCAAGCATTGTCACCCTAGCAAATAATAAACATTTTTTATCACAATAGGCATATGCTCAGAAGGCCAAGAAACCCTTAACCTATATTAGGGAGGTAAGAAGGAAAACGAATTTTCTACACACATAAGAAAAGTAGAATCTTAATTTTTTAATTCCTTTGTTTTCTTGTTCCTTTACTTGTTCTTTGATTTCCTCTTTTTCTCCAAACTCGATTTGAATGATTCTACAAATTGAAAATCAGCGTCGCATAGATTGATTACCATACATTTGAACCATGTTAAAGTAATAACCAAATGAACTAGTCCACAATCAAGTTAGAAAAAATTGAAGGTCCTTTTCTTTTTCTTTCTTTCTACTTAAAATTTAAATAATAAGCAACCGCCATCGCTTACTTTTGGTAGGCACTCAATTGCCAGCAAACAATCCTAAATTGAAAGGAAAAAAAAAAAAACTAACCAAATATAAAATTAGCAATAGATAAGATCTCACCGCAACTTCATTGCCTAATAATGTTTGAATTCCTCATCTTAAATTCAGAAAAAAAATGAAACAGGAAAAGTAAAGAAACCTAATAAATTCACCAATAGAAACAAAAATCAGACCAGCATTGAAAATAGCAAAACAAATAATAATGATTAAAACTGTTTTTGTGTGTGAGAGCGAGAGAGAGAAGGGCAAGTATAAACCCGGTGGAAGTGGGATAGAGGGAAATCAGAGGAGAGATGAGAGAAAACTTGGTCCATGTGCTTGGAGGCCTCGCACCACGACGCCCAGAAGTGCAGAATGACCGGAGAGCCCTCCCCAATGGTTTGATCAAGCTCGGCCTTCGATTTCACCTCCTTCACCGCTCCTCCCCCGCCGCCTGCCATTTTTCTACGAGATTCTACTGGCTTTTGCTACTCCGAGCTAAAGAATGGAACAAGAGGAGAATTTGTGCGAGAGGGAATTTTGGCATTGGGGTTGTAACAGTGGTCCACCTCCCCTTTTTATCTATTCCTCGAAATCGCATATTCTGAACCAGAGTTGTTGGTTCACTCAAATTGCGATTTTTTTGTTTTAACAGTGATTTGGGTCTTGAGGTATGTTTGGCTAGGGATGACAACGGGGTGGGGGCCCTCCGCGCCCCCCGCCTCGCTAAAAAATTTCCTGCCTTGTTACCCGTTTAAGGCGGGGTTTTTTTTTTTTTTTAGTTTTTGATAATTTTTGTTATTGCCCCCATTCATTAGATTAAGAGAATAATATATTTTTTATTCTTTTATTATTTTTTAAAGTTNGGGGCGGGGCGGGACCCTTGCCCCGTTCACTCCTCGTTTAATTTTTTTTTTTTTTAGTTTTTGATAATTTATTTTTATTGCTCATATACATTAGATTTAGACAAATAATTTTACTTGCTATTTTCTATTAGAACTAATGAAAAATTGTAACCATATTTCCGAAATTTATGAAAGTTTCTTCTAACCACAATCAGTGAGTTTGCTTTGTAAAAATAAGTGTGCATTTTACCCAATTTTGTTATTTGTAATTTCAAATTTCTGAGTATGCTGATCTAGAATTATGTTTCTTTACATAGTTAGACAAAAATTATATGTGACCATTGTTTATTGTCAATGTGATTATTTGTGACCATAGCTTTGCTTCATTCATATTGACACGTGTTTGTTAATTGTGACTGTTTGTGACTATTGGATATAATAGGTTGTGATCTTGCTAGGAAACCATTTGTTAGGTTTTATTAAATATTTTCAGTCCTACCCAAATCAGAATGTCAGATATGTTTCTGACTTTCAACACATAAATAAACGTGTGATTGTGACCAACATATATGTTAACCGTAACTTGTTTTTTTGTGACTGTGACCATGATAAACAAATGTAAAGATGACATTTGGTAAAAAAAATAACTCATAAATTGCGCTATAGCAATGCTTGCAATAATGTAACAAAAATCATGTCACGTTTATTAGGATTATGAAATAGGTCAAACTATCCAAATTAGATCACAAAACATTATTCAAGTCACAAAAACTATTTAGGTCACAAAATATCCAACACAAATCACAAAACCTTATTTAGGTCATAAAAATGGTATTCAATCCAAAACAGGTCACATAAACTATTCAGGTTACAAAATGGTATTCCATCACACAATACCCAAAACAGGTCACAAAATACTCAAAATTAGGTCACACGTTACCCAAATCATATCACAAAACCGAAGAAGAGTAAAGTAAGAGATAGCTTTTTGTGAACTAGGATTGACAATTTGTTTACAATAAATACAAACACAAAGGAAACTTCTTTCGTATATTTGAATACAACTTGGCAAATATAGAGGACCAATAGATCACTTATAGATGGGTCCAATGAATGGTAATACTGTGGAGGCGACGATTGAATAATGTTTGGAGTTGGTGACGATGGTTTTTTCTTGGGGAGGAGATTGCAAAATTTGAATTAATTTTGATATTTTATTTAAAAATATATTTTTATATATATTTAAAATATAGTTAATCCCTGATTATTGACAAAAATTCTTAATGATAATCATCAAATTTTAAAAGCATGGTTTTTGGTCAATTTGCCTTAAAAAAATTTCATGGCCCAATTTTATTATTTATGAAGTTTTTACAAGTCATAGGAGATTACATAGATAAAATAGTCGTATGTTATCTCTAGTTTGATAATGATCCGAATAGAGTGGAGACAAGCTATTCGTATAGTCCGACGAGTCCGACCCTAAAATTATAATCAAGAAACTGAAATGAAGGTAAATCTATTCATTACTGGATGCAAAAAAAAGAAGCTGTACAATCTGCAATTTCTGAAAGTGAAACATCAAAATCTCCACTCTCAACCAAAATTGCTCTCTATACGCGCACGCTCATACGGACACAATCGAGAAAACTGCGTGGATTACGAACGAGCCCCAAAAGAAAATAATGAAGATAAAGAGTGAGCCAATCCTGAAACAATAGCTACCTTCACTTTGCCCCTCTTTGGAATCGGACGGCCGTACTCAATTCTCCTCCTCAACAAATTTCTACCATCGATCATCTCTCTTCTCCTTCCTCCTGCCATTTCTGCACCAGTATGAAAAGTAGTTGTTCACCAAATTTAGTACTAGTGTTCTGTTGTGAGATGACATTATAAGGGGGTGGGTGCATATATATATATAGAGACCAAAAGTTCTTAAATGCCACTGGATTTTGGAGAAATTACATTGCTTTTTTTTAATGGGGTTTTCAATTTGATGGCACTAAAAAAGAGGTGGAAGTAAAAGCAGAAATAATTTATCTTGATTTATTGCGTTTTGCACAAAAATCACGTGGGGAAAATTGGTGGCTGGGTATCAGTCAAAACCTTATCATGTGCTTTATGATCCATGATGTTGAAAGTACGTTGAATTAGGACAAGTATTTGCAATGTTCTATGTAACCTAAATTGTTGTCACAGTTTAATGTCGCCATCTTAATCTAATCCAAGATTCCAACCAAATGAAATTTAAATTTGATCTATTATATAAATATAAAGTATATATTATATGTTACATATTGAATATGCCTTATGAGAAGTGGAATATATTGAGAACATGGTCAAGTTTCGTGATGAGAAAAAAATCAGTTTAAAGCTCTCCTTGCGTATTTCTTCAACAAATCTCCACCGTTGTTCTTCAACAAATTTGTCCCTTTGCATTTGGTGATAAATATGATAATTCCAAAGCGATTATTAAAAAGTATAATGGGGCCAATTATTGACGGTCAAAAGATGCAACGATTCTCAATGTCCCTACCAATATTCAATGTGACATAAAGGGTCTTATTCAATAATTAGTATTTTATTATATTCATAAACCAAATCATTTACTCAAAGAAATATATAAACATTGAACTTATCCACTAAATGGAAAAGACGCACTTGAAACTTGAAAGTGATAGGCTAGACATTTGTATTAGTGACTATTCCGCCACAGCCACCATCATTGCTAGCAACACTTTCAAATAATTGTTATTCGATCGCCCCCACCTACACCTCTACTTCCACCTCCACCGTGACACTTCCAAATAATGGCTGCTCCACTACCTCCTCCATTGAAGTCCTAAAATATATTATTCTAAAAAATACTAAAATATGTGACACTAAATCATTTTTTGCAAATGGTATGAATGAGAGAACATTTTTTATGATATGCGCAAAACGTATTTCTTGGAACAATCAAACTAAAAGATTGCGCCACTACCTCTTTACATACGCTACACGTGAATAATTAGGTCTTTTCTTCGAAACCATTGTCAACTTCATATAAANATTGCGCCACTACCTCTTTCCATACGCTACACGTGAATATTTAGGTCTTTTCTTCGAAACCATTGTCAACTTCATTTAAATAAAGATTAAAAAAAAAACTACTATTCATTCCAATCTTCTAATTGTCGAGCTCGTTTGCCAACAGTTATTTGACATATTTCTTCAACAAAAAATTGCAATTTTGATACAAAAACTAAATATTATTGAACCAAAAAAAAATTGTTCATGAACCAATGCCAAAGAGCAAAATTTTCCTGTTTTTAGGGAGAACAACAATAAACTAAGCATTCATCTCCAAAACTACAAAGCATATTTTTGACACATTTGTTCGACTTCATCCATACAACGAAACAATTNAGATTGCGCCACTACCTCTTTCCATCCGCTACACGTGAATATTTAGGTCTTTTCTTCGAAACCATTGTCAACTTCATTTAAATAAAGATAAAAAAAAAACCTACTATTCATCCCAATCTTCCAATTGTCGAGCTCGTTTGCCAACAGTTATTTGACATATTTCTTCAACAAAAAATTGCAATTTTGATATAAAAACTAAATATTATTGAACCAAAAAAAAAATTGTTCATGAACCAATGCCAAAGAGCAAAATTTTCGTGTTTTTTGGGAGAACAACAATAAACTAAGCATTCATCTCCAAAACTACAAAGCATATTTTTGACACATTTGTTCATGAAGTAGGTATGTTGCTTTGTTAAATAAACAAGAATAAAAAGGTTCGAATCCTGAAATATGGATTTGGCCATTGGGTAAGTGCAAGTGTGCAAGCAGTCTTCCATCCTATATCCTTGGAGGCATAACCTGCAATTTACCTTCTTCACCAAAATCCAGGGTAGGGCAGGTGGGGGCCGTCAAAGATGCGACTCATCCTTTTTATAAACAAGAATAAAAGGGGCCCATTTGGTAGGTTTTTGAAAAGTCAAAAGTTACTTATCTATAATATATTAAATATCACATCAAGTGAGAATTATTTTCTGGACGATCCCTACCACAATTCAATTATTTCAATAATATCTTATTTTTCGTTTTTCAATATGTATTTAATTTACAAGATGTAATAAATACCATAAAATTCTCGTTCATGCATGTATTCCCTTTTATTAATTAATGAATATGTTCACATTCAAGAATAAATTTGGCTATTTGTACGCCAAGTTTTACGACTTGGTGTGCAGCCCCCTCACAATAGGGGGGGCCCGCACAAAAAAGAAGAAGCACGACCCCCTACCGTGAGGGGGCTGTACACCAACCTTGGTGTACATATAGCATCTCTCTTCAATAATACAGTTTATTATTCATTTATAATATATTAAATATCACATTAAGTGAGAATCACTTTTTTACTACAATTCAATCATTCTAATAATATCTTACTTTTCTTTTTTCAATATGTATTTAATTTATAAATTGTAATAAATACTATAAAATTCTTGTTTATGCATGTATTTTCTTTTATTAATTATCAATTAATTGACATTGAAATTTACATTTATTAATTAATATTAATTAGAATTTCACATTCACACTCATGTCCATGTCTTTGTTAT